AGTTGAAGAAATTTCCTCGAGAACTGCACATGCAGAGGTAGAAGCAGTTTGCTTTTCTGCTAACGTAGAAGGTTTTTCAGAGACTTTTATAGGTGACTCATCTGAAATACATGTTTTTAAGACCTCTTGATATGTTTTCCAACTTCTGTTCATATTCAGTAAGAGATCTTTGTGAATTGGATCAGTCATTGGATTTTTTGAGCCATTTTTTCACATGAGGTTTCTTTAGAAGCCATTAAATCATATTTAATAGTCTGCACTGCATCTAGGGAATCAATCTTAAGAGAGGTTCTATAGTCAGTGACAAGTGTATACATTAAGTTGAATGCACTTTCCACTAACGGGGCCATGGAAGCAGCTAAGGCAGGCTTTGACCAATTTAGCCAATGTAGGATACTTACAATTATTTGTGAAATCATCTTTTAAATTAAAAACTTTAGACCAATATTTATCAATTGTACACTTACTTGATTTCCACTTTCATCAGATGTGTAGAGCATTTCTTTGGTGATATCAACATAACTCTGGTATAACCTTATTTCAGCTTCTACTTTTGACTTTTCATTATCACTAAAAATATGGGACATAAAAGATGATAATTTTTCAAAAGCTAATATTGTACTGGTTTTACCTCTTAGCTCTGGATCTAATGCTGTTAAACTAATTAGATATGAATTTTTAAGGGGTAATTTCTGTTTCATATGCTGTGCTGTATTAGTATAAGCTTTCATCAGAGAAATTTGGAATTCTTTTGCTATTGGATGATTTTTTGATAATTTCTTCAGGAGAGTGGAAGCTTCTGCACCAGTAAATATTACTTTGCTAGGTAGATGGAATTCTGGATTTGTGACATCAACCTTTAATAAATCATTATAAGATGTGCAACTCTATATTTTCTGGCTTCATAAAAAAGAGAAAAATTTTGCCATCAATTTATAAATACTGGAATGTATTAACTGAAGCATTGGTTTTTTTTTTTTGTTTCAAATAATTTAATATATGTGTTGAACTCTGGTAATACTGCTGAATATAATGCCATATGCAATAAAGTTTTGTTTTGCATAACAAATAACCCATTTAGTATTCTTTTTTTTCAAGCTAAAGCATCCTTTGTGAGTTGTTGGGAATGCAAGCAAGAATACACCCGTTCAACAATTTTTTTCTGAGCTGCAGAAATATTTCTTTTATTGTATACAGTTTCAACATAAGAAAAACAATCCCCTTTATCAGTTTTATCCAAGTAGTGAAAATAAAATGCAATAAGAGCATCCCACAGATCTTTGATTCTTTCTAGAACACATAAAATGTACACCCACCTATGGTCTGGTCTCTTCAAGGGCTTAAGTTTTTTAATGGCAAGGGATTCACAGATTTTGAAAAAATTTTCTCTTTTACTGCAGCTTTTCATATTAAAATAGATGTCATCAAACAAATCTTCTAAGTATCTATCAAAACATGAAGCAAAACTTTTTGCACAGTTATTAGCTGTGTGACATGTGTCACCACCAATATCTAATAAGTGGGGTACTTTATTTGATCGTAGTCTGGTTTCAAAACCCCTTTTTTTTCTACGCATGGTGTTACATGAGTCCATTAATACACTAATTAAGTTTGCCCATGGAATATTATTATCTTCAATAGTATTAACAACTGCTTTAAAAACAGCTTCTGAATTGCAAGATTCCATCTTTAGAGATGCAAAATGATGAACTACAACTTCATTTTGATTGTTGTCATAAAACTGCACCAATATTGCCAGTATACTTTCTTGAGCATTGCTAGTACTTTCATCCAAATTTAGAAAAAATGGAGTCTCCTTTAAAGTTTTAATGATATTTTCCTTAATAGTTTTTGCGAGCCCATATTTCATCTTATAACATGCAGTAGTCCTGGACATTTCCAACGAGTTTAGTGCCGTCTGATCACGGCTCAACTGTTTGCAGAGTTCAATTAAATTGGGAGCTACATTGAAAGAAAGAGAATTTTCGGCGATAAACGAAGTTATTAATACCTCTTGGCGTGCTTTTCTTGTCACTATATCCAATGGCCGAGCATCAGTCTCCAGTAAGTCATCAGTATTTTTTGAATTAGCATAATTACTTAAAGTCATTGAATGTCTAATGCACTTTGAATATTTTATGTGCGTCAACAGTTTTAGAATGATTTGTGAAAGCCTTGAATCCTTCCCCACCATACTTCAGCAGTGAGTTACAAAAACACAATATGCTTGTCCAGCAACATTTATTTTCTTGCACCATGTGCCGATGGTATCCCCATTACCATCTCTCCATTCAATCCAATTCCACCTAAATGCATTCCGGACACCTTCTTCTAATTGTATAATATCACTATTTATATCGAGAAATTTCATAGTGAAATTCTCTTGCGTACATAAAAAAAAATATTTCAATAAACAAAACGAAAAATTTACACGTGCATCAATAAATGAAACGAAAAATTTACACGTGCATTAATAAATGAAACGAAAATTTTACACAGCGGAGGAAAAAAAGTTGAGAAGCGATCAATGACAAATAGCTAATACAGCGAAATCCCCCTTCTCTACTTATTGGCGCTACGCCAGGAGAGATAAGACCTTTGAACCCAGAGTCACGTGATCGCACATCTGGTCGAACAAAGTCTCTACCATTTTTTTCTGCAGCGCCTACTTGCTGAAAAGAATCCAGAAGAGAAGAGAATGTCCGAGAACCGGGGGAATGAGTCATAACTCGCAATAAGGAAAGAACAAAAAAGTTTTTTCCCCCTTTTCACGCATTATCACTGCCTTTGGAGAAAGAAAGGAAAAGTTTTCACCACACACACTGACCTTGCGTTTTCTGCTTTCAAAGCAAACAAAATTACCCAGATCAAAATAAATAATTCATTATTATTCCTACTTCCTTTTGAACGACGATCCCCGGAATTTCTGGGTATCGAAGTTCAAAATCCCCGGAGCACAAACACCCCTGGGATGCATTTAAAGGGAATAGCTTCAATTCCGGTTTCATTTCTCATTCTTTCAAAAAAATGGAGCAGTAGATTTTGAGGTACGGTTTGAAGCCTTATCTTCATGGATCTTAACAAAGCGAAGATTGCATGAATTAAGAGATGCCGTTTCTTCTTTAAAAGTAGGTGTTAAAACTTATTTCTGATAGTACAGTCAAGTCTTTAATACAGACTCATCGGGACTTCGGCGATTCCAGATTATAGATCATCAATTTAAATTTGGTAAAATGGCATGCAGAAATTATAAAAATAAAAATATGAAACCGTAATTTATGAAATAAAGAGCAATTATGATCTAAAGCGTATAAAAATTTACAAAAAAAAGCTTAATATTTATTTGTTTACTGTATTAAACATTTCTTTCAATGCACACATGAGTAAAGCATACATTACGCATAGTCGTAGAAAATTGCAACCAGAAAACTATTTGATGTGCATTCGTGATATTTATAACGACGAGGAATTTGATTTAAACCATATCAAAGTACATCGAGATGAAATACTACATTTAGTAAGGAATTATAAGCTGAATAAAATAAAAACATCAACCCTGAAGATAAGGATAATGCTGACAGATCAACTTCCAGTTCATTGCACGTCGCGACGTCCCCCCCCCCTCGCAGAGCAGCATGAAATTCATAAACAGATTTCGGAATGATTAGAAAAACAAACGATATGCCTTTATCCATTTTTTGCAGAAATTCTACTTTTTGTTTGATGGACATCGAAGCATGCTTTCGCTTTGTAGATCCTTTGGTAGCTCCAGAATCGGAAATTCTTTTTGACATAATCGAAAGTTCAAGCTTACTTTTATAAAATTGCTCTAATAGTCTGCAAAAAATAATAAGCCGGATCCAATTCGAAGATTAAAGAACAATGCAATCTGCAACATTAACTCAAATTGATAATTAGATAATTTTAGCTTAGCTTATACCGTCCGTTATACTTTAAACGCACATGCGCATGCGTACAGGTATTATGCGCATGCACAGAAAGTTTGTAGCTTCAAGGTCCAGATTATAAATAATTCTGGATTATGGACGTCCAGATTAAAGAATTTTGACTGTAATTAATTTTGACATTTTTTTTCTACTTTCCATATTTTAAGTTTTCCGTTATAAGAGACTCCAGTAATAACCATAAAACCTTTAGTAAAACTTTCCTTGTTTTCTCTAAACCAACATATTAAGTCTTTTTCTCCTCCTTTTTCTACTGTAATCATATAAGTATATCCAAGCCTCATCAACTGTAACTACATAATTTCCATTTTTCACTTGCAAAATAATTTTCATATAGCAACCTGCAAACATGAGAGACATGTTTTGGCGGCAGGCCAGAAACATGCTTTTTGTTTTCATTAGCTTTAAATCAGATTTTATAATTTTGTTCACAGTTCCTATAGATATATTTCAAGATTTTGTAATAATAGCGCTTTGGGGGAAGGGCTGGATTTTCCTTTAAAACATAAGATGCGACTTTATAAGAGCTGATTTAATAAGAGCTGCAATGTACCGTTGCTGGGTATGCATTTTTTGCCTTTTCCCCCATTCAGATGCAAACTTCGATGTTTCTTTCCTTTCATATTAATTATGTCACTATTTTAATGTGTAGAAATAATAAAATCATGCTTTTCACATATTTCTTTTATTAATTGAATAAGAGAATTTTTCTTCGGACAGTGCAAAAATATAGCAGTCGATTCATTGTTTACTTTTCAATGACATTTTAAAGAAAAAAATATTTTTTATGCTGCAGATGATAATTAATCCTTATTCCAATCTGACTGCCAGTCACATTCATATTTTAAAATGAATATTTAAATTCATAGAGAAAATCAAAGTTGTTACAAAAATGTGTAAACATCCAATGTATGTCTAACTACTTTCTTATAACTTTATCTTTTCAACTTTAATGAAACAGCAGCATTGCATAATTTTTCAATAAATAAAGTATTTTCAATAAATTTAGCTCAATATACTATAAAAATGGCAAGGTGCTTAAAAAAATTAATTTTATTAGTTTCTCGTAGTGACTTTTAACATGAAAATATGTACATGGAAGTTACAGAAATCAAATTAACACTGCATATAGTGAACATTAGCAAACAATTTAACAAGAAAAAAAAAATAAAGGAACTAAAACAGAAAAAGGAAATGTACATCATTCCTTACTAATTTTAGAAAGGGTTACCACAGTTCTGCAATTTTTAGATAACCGAGGAACTAATATAAGAACTCCACAAATAGTTTTATTTGCAGTTACAAACACCATTTTTAAGTACCACCATACATAAAATAATCACAGACTTATGAGAATTAATCATGAAATAATATTTTAGGGAATAAAATACTAGTACTAGCATAAATAAAAATTAACAATGTATATAAAATTAGAAAAACTGCAAATAAATTAAAATGGAATTGTAATAGATTCTGACAAACACACAAAATAGGGGAAAAAAGGGGATTCCATTTGTTTAACAATAATTTCTTTAATATTAAATTGTCAATAAATTAATACACAATGTTACAAAAAATATCAGCAAAAAACATTTTCCTTCAGTATAAATTGCACTAATTAACAAATTATTTTTTCATAATTACAATAATAATAAAGTACCAATACTTCATTGAAATAGTTTAAAGACCTCACCTGCAGCAAATCAGGAGACAGAAGTCAGATAACAAGTAAAAAATTTTCACTTCAATAATAAATATACAAAAGCAACAGTGAAGAAATACCATCCATTATGATTCAGGAGAAAAAATAACATGAAAGACTCGAAGTTTCAATTCATGTGCATAAAACAATAAATTTTATGTGTATGAAGAATTTACTTTTCTAGTGTGCTTTTACACTAAAGACAAAAAGACAAAGTGAAACATTCAAAGATGATAATGTTACACCCAGCAATTTTGTCAAGCAACAAGCATTTTACAGTAATTACATGTTTATTCTGTTTGAATAGCAGATAATGCAAATTAAAACTGACAAAATTAAAAATTATAAAATGCTCTTTTAATTATTTTAAAGCTTTTAATAAAAGCAATAAGTCACAGAAAACAAATTTATACACCACCATGCACATTTTTATTTATATATTACAAAAGTATTAAACAAATTTGAATTATAAATTTATTTCAAATGAATTATACCTCATCCATTGATTGCATAGTTGTTATAACTTAAAATAGAGTAGGTACAATGTACAAAGTCTCACTGTTAAACAGGCAGAGCAGAGTGATAATAATACTAGGGATGATCTCCCTTCAATATTTCTGCAACATAAGTTAAATGTCAGACCTGTCAACAGCACAAACTTTACAACATGTTATGTTTTTCCAACTTTACATATAAGATCATCACATATGCTTGAAAGCTCCACATTTTCTATATTCTGAGAGAGAAAAAAAATTGAAAATTTAGGGGCACATAAAATTTTGTTATTATTTTAATCTTAAAATCAAACTTTTAATTTAAATTCTTTAGATAATTTTTTTCACATAATTTCAAATGAAATAAATGTCATTAGAAAATATTTTTGATTCTGACACTGACACAACATACTTTTACTGTAAAAACAAATAACATTCAATGAAATTAATAGATAACAAAATGTTTAGAAAACAAGTTAACTATGGTGATCTGTAAATTGAGGGATTCTTTCTAGATGACGCATGTGTCAACACTTTTCAGAAATTTTCTCTTACACCCTTCCCATGTTGGTTTCGTTCGCATTTTCTAAATAGCTGCCAAAGAAATTAGTATGGTTTGTCTAAAAAACTAGTCTAGCCAGACACCACATTGATAACAATATAAAATTACAGCTTATTTATGTTCATTCTGTCTTTTGACATATCTTTTCCAATCACTACGCTTAAAAACTTTATTAAAATTGTTTTATATGAATTCAGACACATTTTCGAAATAATTATTTAGTTGGCATATTTAAAAATTGCCCATATCAGCCCAAGAATGAATGCCAAGTCAAATGCCATTACACAAATATTACAATAGATAAGGGCCATTTGGACATGAAGAAATGTACCGATTCGTTTCACTATACAAATTTTAAAATACACCTACAAACTACATGAAAACAAGTCGGTAACTTCCCTTTATCCTACCACGATGAACTGAGGCATGACAGAATAGTATGACAGTAGTTAAAACTTTCGATATACGGAAAAAAAATGGGAGAAACATAGCATTTCTCAAACAAAATGAATTCAGTGAACAAAGAAAGTTAATTTTGTAGTTATATAGTCTTAAGAGCATTGTTACATGTAACCAACTTTCTTCACAAGGACTCAGTGCATAGATAAGTAGAAATAGTGGAACTCTAATATGCACGTATATCATTCAACTTCCATGATTTTTCATAAATATGCATCAGCTCATAAGCTTTTCATTTCAACTTTAAGGCCCACCAGCTGCCGAGCAGTATAGTTGCTAAACACTGGTAGTTCAGTCCGAGGGTCAAATCCCATGAACGAGCTGACTGCATGGGCGTTTTCATGATTTCCCCCATGTGTAACGTGTATATGAGCTAGTTTCCCTTAGGAAGTTCTCCATGAAGGCATCCCTTCCCTTAGGTAGATAGCCCTAGTGTGCTTTGCCATAATTAAATAAAACAAGCCAATAAATAAAACAAACCAAAACCATTTCAACTTTAAAATGCTACTCTTCATTAACATGGAATAACTACTGGCAAGGTCAGATCTCTACAATAATAACAAAAAGATGTCACTGTCCATATGCGACCAATTTAGATTTGCAATGCACCAATCTGATGGCTGCATGGTGTGGATATGGAAGCACCACAGGAACTCTTTTTCATAGTATACAATTCAGATATGGAAGCACGACAGGAACCCTAATTTTCACAGTATATGAATCCAACTGTCAAATCTGGACATAGCAATACACTTTTGAGGTTTTCTTGCTCACCGATTATCAATTTACTATAATGAGCAAAACTGCCTAAATATTCAAGAAGTTCTATTATGACAAAACAATAGAACTAAGCCTTATTGATATAAGTATAATACTGCACCAGCCCCAAGCATGGTTATTAACAGAAGTCTAACAATGCTGTCTCATGTTTGGAATGTTTGAGCACACAGTTCTATCTGAATCCCAAACAGCACTTGCAGGATCAGTTGGAGCATATATTATGTAGTTTGCAACCAAGGTCTACTAGAAAAAAAGTGAGCAGCATTATGTACTCAGAGGAAACGTATACCAATCACTGAAGGGTCAATGCATGTATTAGGGCCGAAGGCAGACCAACAAATTACTCATATATGACAATAAACGCTATTTTATTTCTACTCCCTATGATTTATGTCAACATGGTGTATGTTTTATTACTTTTAAGTCTGGACATTGAAAGTATAATAAAAAAAACGCTACTCCCCATTTAATTGGAAACTAAATCTAGAAAAACAATAATTTATCCCAACTATTTACAATGTCCAATAGAAATGTTTTTCAACTTATGTAAATATAATAAAGGCAATTTTCTTGGTCTTATAATAAAGACTCTTAATATCTCATATTTACACACCTTTTGTTCAAGATCTTTTTCTAAACTTGATATCTTCATTTCAGCTTTTTTCAGTTGAGCTCTTAACACTGTTACTTCAGCATCACCAGACTTTCTAGCACTCTCAATCTCTGCATTTGCACTGACAAAGTAAAAGACATAATTAAATTAATATATCCATACAAACATATACCAATATTTTAAAAAAGATTTTTAAGTTTAACAAATTTATGAAATATTTAAACTAATTTTATACAATATATTAAAAACATACAAATAAGAGAATACATTACAAGGCCTACCTATGATAACTTTTTCAAAATAGAAACGAAGATTAACTAACTAATGTCAGTCTCTAATTCCAGATTGCTGCATTTAATAACAGCTGGATGACTTTGTCTTCTGTTCAGCATTTTAGATTTTCATTTTGATTCCAAAACAAAGAATAAAACCAATCATTTAATACACTGTATTCAATTTCTTGATCACAGATTAAAAACATTTAAATGTTCCACACTTAAAAAATGGTAATCATATAAGTGGAATAGGGGTTTAACACAGTACTTAAATACTTTCTTAAAGAAAGAAATTATTTGTGGCACGAAAACAGAGAATCCATCAATAATTTTTGCCTTCCTTTCTTTAACTTATTTTTCTTGCTGCTATTTCTTGGCCTCCAAAGAAAATCAAACTCTGAAAATAAACAGGAAATTAAATAAAATATTTTGAGACATACAGACGTCGATTAAAAAGTTTCTGTCCTATACTTCTAAAAAGAGTTGAGAAAGTTATAATAGTTTTATTTTTCAGTTCCCTTTCCTTGTACTTTAAAATACTTTTCATATCATTTAATGAGCAACTCAATCAATATCTCTGAAAAAATAATCTGAAACCTTGTACTTAACATGTTCCATACATGCTTTTTTCATTCCATCATCATCATTAAATCTTTTTCCACAGAGGTCATATTTCAGTTTGATCCCACATTTCTTTACTGCTTTAGCAATGACGGCTGAATGTACAGAAGCATTATCACGAAAATTAAATGTGCTGGCTTTGTACTGCATGTTTTTTCTTATTAATTTCATTCTGCAATATATGCAAAGGTTTGTAGAATATTCCCATACATGGCTGCATTTCTTAAAAATCTCTGAGAAAGATTCCTTGACAGCATCCAAAATTGATAGTTATTCTCCTTTTTTAGTCTTTTTGTGATGCAGCTTCACTTAGTTTCCTCCATTCTATCAATCCTCTTTTAGACAGAGGACCACAGTACAAAGTATAAAATCTTATACTATGATCTTCTGTTGAAGAGGGATATTGTTTCATTAAGAATTATGGGACCAAAAAACTTACAGATTTGCACAGCAAAGCAGCAACTGCTCACAGGAAGTAACACATAGCTGTTTTTGATTTGAGGAGAACTGGGTTACCTATTTTGCAGACTTTTCTTCAAGTGAAGGTGTTGATGTAGAATGAACAAAACAGTTGTTTTACATAAATCAAGTCTTGCTGCTATTTGTCTCTCAGCACTCTATGGCACAAGCAATATGTCAGATGTTAGTGTTAATGATAGAAATATTACAAGAATCTAAAGGAGATGATTTTTGTGCATTTCTGTCCTTTCACTGTATAACAGGAATAAGCCGAATCTCTATATATGAGATCTAAGAGCTGTTTTAACTTTTGGGATTAAGACTTTCACCAGAAAATTACAGAACATTAAATCTTACGCATTTTAGAATAAGCTACAAGTGAAATTTCAGAATAATGCATCATTCAGTAAATAGTCAGAAAAGAATGCAGGTGTCTGGCCAAACACAATTTTAAATTTATTCATTTAGTATTGCTGTTATATGTCTGCAAGAGCAATTACTTGCCAATTTATATATACAGGGTGGCCCAGAAGTCACTTTACATTTTGAAAATTAAATAACTTTTTTTCTATTAATATATTTCTTTTTCTCTTTTCAGAATTAAAAAATATAATCCCTGGAAATTTTTGGCATGGATAAGTTTACAACAGAACAACGAGTGAAGATAATTGAATTTTACTTTGAAAATGGACGGTCAATTGTTGCAACGCAAAGATCATATATGCGCCATTTTAATGTTCGACATCCCCCTAGTAGGCCTGCAATAAGGAACTTAGTGACGCGTTTTCAAGGTTCAATTAGTGCAATCTTTAAAACCAGCAGACTTTCAGAAACGAGTAAATTATGCTGTCAGGTTTCAGAGAACTTCAAGAAATGACAATGAGTTTATTCACAAGTTGATCATGGGAGATGAAGCTCATTTCCATTTGAATGGACATGTGAATAAGCAAAAAATAAAAAGAATTAATTAAATACAGTCATTTAAGAAAAAGTTATTTAATTTTCAAAATGTAAAGTGACTTCTGGGCCACCCTGTATCTATATACACTCTTTTGCAAAAAAAATCGAAGCATCAAGAAGGACTTTTGTGAATGTGACGAAATTTGGTATGTAAAATCATCTTGATCGAACATGCAAATTATCAAAGTTTCCAGGAAAATGAACAGGAATTGCGATCATAGTGTGCATTTCTAGTGCGCAATTCGCAAAGCATACAACCAGTAACAGAGGCAGAAATTTTTTTTGTTGTTGCTGCCATCGCAATTCCATAAGGCTGCTATCACACGTCGGTCTGTTTCGGAAGAACAACTGTTTGGAACAATTTTTCTGCTTTATCACAACAGCCAATCACCATAGATCGCTTTGGGGTTAACACAGGGAAAACTGGTTCTCCATTACAAACAAGTTGATAGCATTCGAAGCTGGTAGCTGATTGTTGGTTGAAAACGAACAACTTGCAATTTTTTTGGAAAGGAAGGAGAAAGTCGCACGTCTTTCTTTCAATAGTAAACCAGGCAGAAAAATTGTCCGAAACAGTTGTTCGTGGGAAGCAAACGCCGTGTGATATGGGCTTAAAGAAGCAACTAAAGATGTCATTAAGACAATATCAAAGACCTTACAAACAACTAAACAACTTCGAACACGGTTGCCTTGTAGAGATGCGTGAAGCTGGGTGGTCGAACCGAGCATCAGGCCGCCACCTGCAGCGTACAGATACAGCTGTGCAAAGATGTTGGCAGCAACGATTATTACAAGAAACTTGCCGACAAAATGAAGGCTATGGAAGGCCAAGGAGCAAAAAAATGCGAGGCAAGATAGGATGATTGTTCGCCAGGCCCAAACCGCCCCAACGGTATCATTGTTGACTATTCAGTGCACTACAGCCATGTGCATACCTCCCGTGGTACCATCCACCATCTCGCAGCACTTGTCTGAGGTGGGGTTATGCTCACAGTCCTTTCAGACGGTCTGGAGTGGTGTTGCAGCCGATCATCATGGCTGCCATCGTATAGTATTCAGCGATAAATCCCGCTTCACTCTTGAAGCAGATGACCACCATGTTCATGTCTGTAAAGGAGGAGGCCAGCCATCCCAATCAGTCATAACACCTGGTGTGATGGTGTGAGATGCTATTTCTTATGACAGCAGGTCATCTTCAGTCGTCCTCCGTACATCTTTAACAGCTCAACGACATGTTGATACCATCCTGCGGCCAGTTGAATGACCCTTCATGGCACGTCATCCTGGGGCCACTTTCCAACAAGATAATATAAAAAATATAATATAAAAAAGGCCACATACTGATTGCATATCTGGACTGTCTCAGTGTGGTTAATACTCTTCTTTGGCCAGCAAGGTCACCAGACCTTTCACCAATCGAGCATGTCTAGGGCATAGTCAGCCGTCAGATTCAGGTGCCACAAAATATCGCAGATCTGGCAAGACAACTGATGAATGCCTGGCAGAATGTGTCACAGGATGACATTAGGAACCTCTACCACTCCTTGCCTCGACAAATTCAAGCATGCATTGCCACCACTGGCGGTTCAACCAACTACTAATTTGAACACTCAATGGGGTGCTTGCGAGCCGTGAACAGACCTTGATTTTTTAATCATTTTATTATCTGTGTATGAGTTATACACATATTCAATTTCATCAAAAACAACCACTTCCTTCCTGGTGCTTCGATTTTTTTGCAAAAGAGTGTATATATGTATATGTAAGCATTTATGTAGATCTACCTACATAAATTAAAAGCCTGACTCAAAAATATTACCCATGAAGATGGCATGTGACTTTTTTAATAAAAATGGAAACTGCCATTCTCCCTTTCCTATGCTTTCCCTCCTCCTCTATTTTTCTTTGTGTGCATCAAGGGCTGAACACTTTTCAGGTATAAATTATCATATCAGATAAAAATTTGACACCAATCAATGAAACAAAAGAGCAAGATGTTGCATCACTGATGGCTTTTATCCTGAAATCTCCCTCTCCCCATTCAATTATCATGACATTAAAAAATTTGTTCAATTTATATAAGGCTCCAAAAACAATAGATATTTATAACTGTGTTCAGGAAACTTACCTAATGAGACACTAGGATTAAATGCCCCACTCATCATCTTCGTCCTAACTGCCTCTGTATCTTATTTAAATATTTCTTGATAGGTTTCTCAAGCTATTAATGTTTGTAAAAGGTGAGAAATTCTTTTACCATAATGGCCATAAAAAAGATGTTTAACTATCCATACATTGGGGGTTTGCTCCTTAAATTTTAAGGTTCCCCAAAGTCATGTATAAGTGGTATTTTCTTCATTTTAATTCCAAAATGAACTTCTTGCTTTGTATTTTGACTCCTTTTCTTACAATATATCTTTAAACTGAACTCGGACAGATCAGGAACTGGCGGAAATTTTCATGTTTAACAAATTGGAAAGCTATATTTCTACAAGGAATTTAAAGAGTTAAAACTCTAATTTTCAAACATTATACAATTTCATGAATTTCACAAAACCTTTTTTTTTTTTTTTTTTGGAAAATTACCCTTTCAGTAGTACCTGCTAAAATTAAAGAATGTGAATATTTATATATAACATACACAAAATCTATTTTCATCATAAAAACATAATGACAAGAGGAATCAATTACACTTAAGTAAAAAAGTACTTTTTTCAAAAATCAACTATTCAGTGCATGTGAGCTATAATCAGAATAAACTAAATATATATGAGCAGGCATAAATGCATGATTGCTGTAAATACAC